ATGTTCGAATTTTAGGCGACACCATTCAGAAAATTTATAAAAAATAGTATGCCGTGTTTCAGGCATTCTCAACATTTTACTGTATACAATTTGCAATCACTCTCGAATATCGTCGTCGAGGTCGCCACCGATGCCTCCGATACCACCGTCGGTGCCGCCGATGCCGCCGATACCGCCAATACCGCCGTTCTTCTCAATACCGTTCTTTATGTCGTTCCCAATACCGCGCTACGGCGGCTATGGCAAGAAGCACTACGGCGGCTATGGCGGTGGCCACGGCGGCTACGGCGGGTAAATAATCAATGATGGTTTACTTATTATAAAAAACAATCGCAGAAGGGACATAATTTTCTTAATCAATAATGAATCAACGTGAATCAGGTCATTATAGTTTTAAAGATTCAGAATCAAGAAGTTTTTCGACCGCAGTAAATTGTTTCCCGTTGATATTACTTTAATTTTTTCGCGAATTCTTCAAAAAAGTCTTGAATCTTTCTCATATGACGTGCTGAATTTTTATAAATCAAAGGAATAGCGGGGGAAATTTTTGCAGAGGACTTCATCAATCAATTTCTTATACTTTTGCAGATATGGAAGCAGCTCTTCGTCTTCTGGATACTAAGTGATTGGCGAAAATGTCGACTGACTGCATACAACATCAAATAATTTAACTATTTTTTACGCGAATGTTCAAGACGTTAAAATCTGGAAAGCGCCGAAAAATCTGCTGAGAAAATCTTTTCTCCAGCGGATTCTGAAAATTGCCTGCTGATGATATTTGCAATTTTTTTTACATTTTCGTGATCATTAAAGGTATTATTCAAAAGTTGCCGATTTAAACTTCGGACGTATAAATTAGATTCATTATTGTTCCATGCTTATTTTTGGTGATGTATCAGAATTTTAGCTGTGTTTTGCTGTTGATGCTGGATGATGGGAAAAAATATATGCTCGAAATTATTTATATGCCCATATATACATTGAGTATCTCTCATTTTCCGTTTTTTCGCCTCATTTCATGAAACTGTCAATAAGTCGATTCAGCTGAGACCCGATTTGATTCCGGTGAAACCCACTTTCGCTGGAAAATTGAGTGCGTCCAAAAAATTCACATTATATAAGGAACAATATTATTTTTTCATCATGAATAATGTTTGAAAATATTTTTCCAGAAACATTTTTTCTTCCCAACAATGAACAACTCTTAAATTGGAAAATCGTTCGGTGATCTGGTTGATGGCCGACCAGCGGAGATCCGAATATTGGTTGATAAAATTTTATTTTGCTATTCTGTAAAAGAATTTGAGAGAAACGCGTCTAGTATTTGGGTTAAACTTTGGATAATTTTAGTTAGTCAAAATAACATAGAGGAAATGTTGAGACCCCCGCAAAAACAGCTAAGATATTCCCCGTCATCCCCGATGAAAATCAATCAGTTCAAGTCTCAAATAATCGGAAAATCTCCATCACCACTTTGCACATCGTTTATCATATAAAAATTCTCCACTCTTGTGCTGAAACTTTTCGTTCTCTGGAATATGAATTCATGCCATACAACACATAATGCACAAACTTGTTCATATTCAATTGTTCACTGAATATAGAGCGTTTCTCTTTGATTTTATGATAATAACCGTAATTTTTCTCCACCGAATCAAGCTATCATTATCAAGACTAGTAATTATTTTAAGCATGAAAATCATGATAAGACGCAGTTAATGAGTCGACCTTTGTCAAACCATAAGCGAAAATTGAAAGATTTTTTGATATCAATTGCAGTCGCGACAATGCCCGAAAAAAGTTCATAATTTTTCGGTTCGATTTTCTTGTTCAAATTGCAGGAGCGAAATGTACCGTAATTGACTTCTAGGTCGTTCGAAATCTGAAACAAACCAATTTGATTTTGCAGGAAAAAATGTTGTTTAAAATTTTTTGGCTACATATCAGAGTTTTCCTGCTACAGTATTTTCAAAACCCCGGGGAAAATTTCGTCTTATCGGTGAACCACGTATCAAAAGACTGGAGTAAGTCTTTCACAATACTGACATTACAAACCGGAGTCGGAATTAAGTTCTTCGTCCTTCCAAAGGTAATTTTGAGAGAAGCCATCAATCACCCCTAATCAACTGACTGAAATTACAAACCAACGTCAAAATCACATCTACCCATACGTCCCCAAATAGGAAAATTGCTCCCGTCGTGTTTTTTCTTGTGGTGTATAAAGAGTAGGTGGCTTTAAAACCTTGAATACAGTATTTGCTAGACAAATAAAAATAAATTCAAATGGAAGGATACTCCGGATTTTGTGACTAAAATCTGAAGCTAAAATTACTAAATAGACGCAATTGCAAAATAATCCCCCGAGATGAAATAGTTTTTGTCTCCTTTTTTTTTTTGGTCTCCCGAGTTCATTGAAAAGAAAAATCTTAATCGTCTTTGGAGGTCTGCTACTGTATAGATGAAATAAAGGTTTCTTTTTGCTCGGATTTTTACTGATGAAAGCAACTTATTTCGGCATTGGGTGAAAATCGAAAGCCTTGACCCACTGAGGTTGTCTAAACATCCCGAAGCCAGCGTGTAATTGAAACGAATGGCTCCAATGATGGTGCACAATTGAGCGTAACCAAGCGAGCAAGAGCGCAAGTGATTATTACAAAGCCGTCCCATTTGAAACACTTATTCGCAATTATTCTCGCGAGTTTTGCAAGCCAAACCCCGGCCTGCCAAATTGTTTCAAATTTTGGAAGCAACTGTGTAATTTTCCACGCTCGAATGCATCTTTGCTGAGTAATAGGTCAATTCGAGTGCATTATAACATCGTGTGGCGCTATTGGAGCTTTCGGAAGATTTTCTGAGATATACACCGGATATTTCAGCTTTATTCACAGTTACATCCGCGGCAAATCTTCAGTAGATTTTGGGATTCTAATTTGATTTTTGTGCTTGCCCATGGATCAATTTGCGATTGAATACAGTGTGGTGGGTCTCGATCAGAGACCTCACCAGCAAAGAATTAATTTTGAGGTTGGAAATAAATTGGGAATGCACTCTTGGAAATTTTCTGCCTGAGGTGTCAGTTCACCTGTCATAAGTCAGTTGTATTTGCACAAGTTTGGTTTCACAAGTTCACACAAATGGTAGGTCCTGTTCACAGAAGAGGGTTCAGCTTGGAATGATGCTTCTCGATTGTGTTGATTCCTATATAGGTTTTGGTCCTCCTTGGTGCAAGATTCCACCAAGGTTTCTTTTGAAGAATGATTCACATTTTCTGTGTTAGTAATTCATGATAATTCTTTTCACCAAGCAAGTGATGATTCACTTCAGTGATGGAAAATTTTCTCATCAGAAATGTTTGTACAGTTAGGTTTGTAAATGCGTTTTATATAATCAATGATGTGGAACTTTCTGTGCCACGTTGTTGTACACTTCTGACATACCAGGGTATGCTTTGTCGTACCGCAGTGCGTTGTGTTCATAGCTTCATACTTTGGTGCGTTGCAGTTTCCGCAGTATGCGGCGGGCGACATCTAGTCAGCCTGTGACATACAGTTCGATTTCCTTAAATGATGAACCGCTTCTCTGATCTGGTGAATATAATCAAAGTGGCATTTTGCACGGCACGCATTTTATCCCATTGCCTAAATACGGCATTACTTTTATGCCATTTTGTAAATGTGTATAAAGAACGACGATTTTGATTGAATGAATGAACAGAACACTTCATTTGCAGCTTTTCATCATTCACAAGGCACAACCAAGACTCCTGGATCCAAACCCCCTCCCCACCCAACTCAAATCCCCTCAAAGACATGCAATCACTTCAAAGCAGGAAACAAAGCACAAATTGATGACAAAAATAAAAGAGGACACACTCCACAAAATAAAACTGGACATCTGAAATGTATGCATAAACCCACCCATTTCCTGACATTGAAAACAAAGTAGCAGTAAAAGTGTATTTAAAGCACAAGGTCTTCATCTTGCTTCTGTATGAGGTTTAGTTGAATGAACAATCTTTGATGAGAAATCATATAAGGCCAACGATTTTGATTTATTTTGATTTTATTTTGCGCGACAGGTTGCTTAGACTTGAAATCATCTGCTGCTAAATACCTGGAGTTTTTTTATTGTCCTAGCTTGTACACATTGATTCGATGTTCCTGTCGGGCAATAATTCAAGTTTCTGCGTACTTAGTTAGAAAGTTAGAATTAAACGGAAATGTATATTCGATTATATATTGTATTAAGATTGCATGTCTCTTATAGAAATGGCGCGTACTGTATATCTAATTATGTTCATATATCCTAAACATAATTTTATTCACTTAAACACGGTAGCTTTCAGTAGAGTGTTGGCAATTTTTTGAAATGCCATCGCAAAAATCAGCGATGCGGCATTTAAATGCGTATACCTTCAAAAACTCTGCTCGTTAATGCCAGAAATTTTTTAAAATTTTAAATTTATTACTTAATTTATATCGAATTTTTCTTGCAAATCGAAGGCATCGGTTCGAAACATTTTCACTCAAACAATAATTCATTCAAAAATAGTAAAACTGTCGTTGATGCGTTTGAAATTGAAGGATACAAATATTAAAGGGTTTTTAGTTTACCACAGTTCCAAAAAATTCTTGACGCAAGAGAACATCGCGCTGTTAAATTAATGTACATAGCTTGATAAAAAATATTTTCGCACAGAAAAATTAAGACAAACGCATGTTTCGAATTATCGTCGCGTTTCTATGTATACGTGAGTGCTATACTTTCTTGACCTCCAATGAGTCCAATTCGTTTTTCCCTCGTTCTTCATCCGCCGACTCTTTCTTTATTCGAGTTCGTCCAGTTCGTGTTTCGTAACTGCACCTGATGAATGACATACTGCGATACACAGTGAAAGAAATACATGGAGACGACAGAAACAAAAGAAACGGGTTCAGGGTAATTGAGAGGGGATGGAAAAGTCAGATCACGTAACCACGTACGTGTATATCCGGCAGTCAAGTGTGGAGCAGTTCAATGTCTCGGTGATTTGAGGGTGCATTCACTTGAACGTCTTTCGCACTGGACCGTGACGAGTTTGACCCAAACTTTCCACAGAAAAAAAGAAAAAAAATCTTACTCTATACAGGAAAGAGGAAAATGTCTAACCACGATATTTATTATTCCCTCAATATTGTAAATTTTGCTTGCTCCATCAGCAGTTGGGGAGGAGAAGCAAAGTGAGAAATGTTCTGGGAGAGTTTTTCTGTGCGCGGTAATTTGGGCGAGGACGAGACGATTTCAAAAATATCCACTTTGAGACCTCTTGTAATTTGAAATCACTATATTTATTCCCTCTTTATTGTAGTAGCACAAGGGAAATCAAATCTTGCGTAATACTCTACATCATCAGTAACCTTCTGAAATCAGAACATATTTTTTTCTTGCTCTAAAGATCAAACAGGACATTATGAAATATAGAAAACCAGCGATAGATTGAGGATGGAAGAATTTGTTGAATTTATCTTCTCAGGGAGAAAAGCGTATACTGTATAGGCTCTTTGGTTCATTTCTCTTGAAGGCTCCTTTCGGGGTTCCACAAATAAATGAATTTATTAGAACTGAAACAACGCAACAAACAGGGGCTGAGAGTGTTAGTTAGAAAGTTGCTAAATAAATGTCTCTTTATATTTGTCCCAACTTCAGCGAAAATCAATTCAACTTGTTAAAAGCACAGTCATTCACACACCAATTCAAGAGATAAAACGTAGCAGAATTGTTAAATTCTTGGATAGACCAAATTTTGCTTTAAAAGCTGATAGTGAATTGTGTGATGAGTGCTTCCTTATTGTAGAGCTTCAAAAAGTTGGGGCTGATTTTAATTCTTGTTGTCCTGTAGATACTCTTGTCTTGAAGTCAAGTGTCTACACTTTTTTGGGAGACATAGAAGCTAGGGGAATTAAATTACGTAATTATAAATAACCCTTGGCTGGCAAATGGTTCCTGGCCATCTTGCAGCAAAGTTTGGATTTTTTGGGGGTGGCACATTTGAATTTGACGAAAGGTCACTGAAATGTGCCCAGGTTATTGGAAGGGTCTATAAGTCAGGAAGAATGCAGGAAGGGTGAATCATTTTGTTTTTAAAAATCTCCAATGCTAATCCCATGCTGGGAATTATTGAAAAAATGTCACCCAGTGACGAATTTTTTTAGAGAACTTTTTCTATTGAATTATATGACAAATATTGGACTTTTTCCCAACTTTGGCCTTGGTTCAAAAATTTATTCTTTTTTTATTTTCAGTGTTCATGTAGGCACAAAATTTTGCTAAAATATCCTGACTTTGTTTGCCACACAACAGTCATAAGAAGTTTTTGTTGGCTGCTGAGCAAGCTTCTAAAAATTGGGTTGCGTTTTATGGGGGTATCTGCTCCTCCTGAAGAAAAACGAATTTATTTGAATTATTGTCTGAGAATAGACAAAACCCCGGGCAATCGGAGGCGGACCCTAATTTCCCCCACTGTCTTTTATTATCTTCAACCTTGGAGGAAGCGTGAAAAGAGGGGTGCACGATTCCAGTGACGAAACTTGGCCTCGGGCTATCCACACTGTGTTGAGTCAGAAGGTTTAATCTGCATGCTGAAAGAGATCAATTATTCGATGTCCTTTCAAATATTTCCAAATCAATTGGAATTGATTTGATTGAACTTGGTCGGAATGATCATGTGAAAACGAAGAGGCTTCAGATACTGTATTTGGGTCTTCTGAATCGAATTCAATGATGTAAAGGTAACAAATTTGGAAATCAAAAACTAATGTGAAAGACTAAAGGTCAGGATTTGAAAATCAAAGAATAAGGTCTTGGAAAAATTCGAATTTTCAGCTGCAGGTTAACGAAAACGCAAATATAGATCTAAGAATTTTCTGCATATAACATTCCGAAGTGCATGTATTATTTTCAAATATTCCCAGATAAATTAAGTAAATGGTATAAAATACTCTCTGAATGGACAGATTCAAACTTTTGGAAAAATCATTGGGCTTATAAAGAATTCAAGACTGTGCTTTATGTCGACCTTTTTAAATTCATTGGGAAAAGTGCAGATGTTCCCAGCATACGAGTACCTTTATGTCCTCTATATTTTGAAATTTATATTGGTTTACCCCCAAGGGTAACCCATTCACATAATTTAATATAGAAACTTCCTTAGATGAATGAATGAACATAAAACTTTATTTGCCGCTTTTCAGCATTCACAATAAGGGATAACCAGAACACCCGCATCCAAACCCCCTCCCCACCCAACCCAACTCCCCCAAATACATTCAATCATTTCAAAGCATGAAACAATGCACAAACGAATGACAAAAATAAAAGAGAACACACTCCACAAAATAAAACTCTGACAACACGGATATATATTCCTTATACTGTATATCCGTGTTGTCAGAGTATAATCTGGAGTTTTTCTCTGCACAGTAAGAATATACTTGGGTTGTTGCAATTTCCGACCTATCTCATGTATCTGCACTTGAAAGTGCCTTTATTTTGCTGAAGAGAATTGCCACATAATTGGTTTTGGGGTTTTTGCCATTGATGTTTTGGATGAGCAAATAAATTTGTTTTGTGATTTCCGTTTTCCCCCTATACCACTGTTTCAAATTCATCTTTCCCGGAATGAAAATATGATGTAAAAAAACAAAAAACATCATTTTATGGTCTTCAACTCCCAAATGTTCAGCAGTATGAATCAAAATATAGAAAAGAATCTCTCCACACTGACGCATTAACCATGAAAAATCAACAATATGATTTTTTCAAAATTATAAGTAGCATGGATATTTAAAGCACTTTACGCTCAATTAGTGCTGAATAGTCTGAAGGCAAAGTGTTGTGTTGATATGTGTCATATCACAATGACTTGAATTTCAACCTGAATAATTGGCCAAAAATGTTGGTAAGAAAATCACTGCACCATTCATCTCCATTATTTTAGGCCAGTGGGACATTTTAAAAAGTTTGTGGCACGATATTAGCTCAAGTGATACAAAGCCCAGACAATTCTAAAAATTGGTTGAATTTATGCCAATTTTCTATGAATTCGGAATCACACAGGACTTCCTTTTTCGAATCCGTACTGAAAAGACTGAAAAGCGAATTTAGCCTTACAGAAGTGTACGATATTGCGATAAAATAAATTGATTGCAAAAATGGGCAACTTCATACATCAGTAATTGTAAACGTTTTTAGAAAAAGGCACGGTGAAAACTCACAAAAAATGGCATCTGTACAATGGGAATGAAAATTCAGGCGATTATCGAAGTATAAACAGAAGCTCAAGTTTATTTCGATGCATTTCATGGTGAAAAAATTAAAAATGGGAAGAAAAGACAGAATAATTCACGACATTTTCCTCGCATATACTGTATATCAAAGTCATGCACGATTTCACGATTTAGCATCAATTTAAAATAAATATACGAGAAAGTTCAAATCATCATTATTCCCAGTTTCCGTTGGAATAACAGTATAAATAGCTTCAATAATCGTCATCGGAAGAAGACGACGAAGAGCTGCCACCGTATCTGAAACAATACGGAAAAATTTATTCACAAAACTGAAAAAAGTCCTCCACGAACAGAATTTTCGCAATTTTCAAAATACTGTATATGCAAAAATCCCGCGTCCGCATATCATTTGGAAATGGCTCAATTCAAACTTACCCCTTTTGTGGCCTCTTCTGTTTGTATGAGACAGCAACGTATTTCTTCTTGGGATACTTTGTATAATATTTGGGGTTTCCTTTCATTTGCATCGACATTCCACTTGAAGAGCTGCTCATCATTCCTCCGTAAGCCATTGCTGGCCTATATAGACAAACAAAGAAGGAAAACTCCTCAATAATTGAAATTTTAAGAAGGTTTACGTTTTTAATGACTTTTAAACAAAGTCTTATGAAGTGAATGTATATTAAACCCAAGCCAAGACGTTCTCGTCGCGTTTAGTCAGGGCTTTCTTCCTGTTTTCGCTTCTAGTAGACAAAGCCTTAAAATTATATTTGAATACATAGAATAAAAAAGTTTGTACGATGCATCAGTATAATACCTTTTGATGTCCGCGATTAAGTTCATTCAATTAAAATTCATCCAATATGCTCTGACATTTTAAATGTATTAAAATTGCATGAGATAAATAAGTTACTTTAAAAATAATATGTATTGTCTCACCTTTCCAGCGGACTGCATATTTTCGGTATTGATGAATTCGACGGGGTTATTGACGAGGTTGTGGTTTTTGTTATTAAAATTAAAGCCTGCAAAATAAACGGAATGCAAATTGGTCAAGCTAAGCATTCGAAGGTCTCGGAAATGGTTGATACAATATATGAGCAATTGAGCAGTGCCACTAATTGTGGGGGAAACAAAGTTCATTTTGAATTAATTCAATGTTGAAAACAAATTTTCGGAGTGCACCACTGGAATAAGATAATGAAGCTGCATTATTACGAATATCCCGTTTTAATTTAGTGAAGCTTACTCCGATGCAATTTTTGATGTACAATATAATGATGTTCAAAATTTTCATTCTTTGAAAGCTTGTTTCAAAGAATGCAAATTCTCTAGTAAACAAAATTTTTGATGCAAGTTTCGATGCAGCAATGATCCTCAAAATTTTCATTCTTTGAAAGCTTGTTTCACAGAACAAATTCTCTATTAAAATTTTTTAATGCAATTTTTGATGCAATGATCCTCAAAATTGTCATTCTTTGAAAGCTTGTTTCACAGAATGCAAATTATCTTTTTTTTAAATGTCTTGATGCAATGATCCTCAAAACTTTCATTCTTTGAAAGCTTGTATTACACACAAGGCAAATTTTCAGTTTTGCACTCTAAAATCAAAACAGGTAATTTTGACTAGGCTGATATAATGCTTCACTGTTCTGGACTGGATACGTTCTGATGCTTTTTTCCATAGCGAATCCGGACTTTAAATACCAGCATCCACCATATTACTATATAGAGGACGATGAGAAAATTAATCGTCAGATTTGGGTTTTTCCTCTCTTCAAACCACAAATTGCTGCGATGATTCTTGTCACCTTCATTTCAATCGCACATATTGCAGACCTTTTGCATCAAAAAGTAACATTTCAACTGTTTTCCTCACGGCCGCTGCTTTGGACGCCAAAACTGTTCATTTTGCGGTTTCTTCTCTTCCCGAAAAAGGGATTTCATTAAATACTTATGTTTTCTGAATTTTAAATAAAACAGGATTTCCTGGTTCGTGTTGAGAAATGAACAGAAAGCAGAAGCACTTTTCTCCTGTAGTTTCCCTCATACAGTTCTGAAGATTCGGAGTCTCCATCAGAAATCATTTAGATAAAGGGAAATTCAAACTCAAAATGCTTCAAATTTTGACCAATGGAATTACTTACCATGTGTGTGGTTTGTTTTAAGGAAACGAAGCATATTAACCAGCAACTACAGCATATCTTCTGTAATTATCTTCTGTGTGCATGAAGCATTACTACAACAACAAACACATTTTTATTGATATGATGAGTTCCAAGGGGAAAATTGAAAAAAGCATGATAGTAGCTTATTACTTTTTTGTTGTTTTGATAAATAATTTAAAATTTGTCTGAGATATTCTATCTAAATGTGGATGAACTTGTGCTTTGGTTTACTTCAAGTTTGAAATTTGGAGAAAATTGGTTCATTTTCATTAATGGGTTGTAAGTTTTGAAAGCCCATAAACTACAACAGAGGGTCAACAACACTATGAGTGTTATTTTTGCGGTACTGATTTATTTGCCTCTGTTAAAATCCCCAATTTTCAACAGGGACATAATTATCGAATGTAAACAACAAAACGGAGAAACGGAGAGACATATGGATGATACGGGTATTGCGGAGGAATTTTCAAAAAGTGAATAGCAATTCTCTCAAAAATAGCCCCGAATATTATCATCTTTCTATCATGCATTTCATGCTGATGAACATGTGTTTTTAAACAGAAAACTGCAGATTTCCTTATGATTGACCATACACATACTGTATAGTTTCTATCTCAGAATTAATTCGTTTCCATTTTCAAATATACAGTAATATGAAATTTTTCAAATGCATGAAATATATATGGAAAATCCAATTAAAGTGGGTCGCGTGATTCTGAATTTTCGCTAGTGTAGCAAATTAATCACATTTCTGTGATAATTAGCCATGATGGATAAGTGAAGTTCACGAGAACCACGGATATCCGGAAAGAAAGGCGTTTCATACGCGATTAATGACTGCGTTTTCCTTCAGGAAATGGCCTTCAAAGCTTGAAGTTCCTGCTGCTGGAATTTAACACGGTTTCGTTCATGAATCCATTTTCAAATTTGGTGCAGCCACTCGGCGTTCAACAAAAAAGCTTCTCCGTCGATTTATCTCTTCGCAGACTGAATTATCTCTCTTATCTCATATCAAGTTTACTCGTATTTCGTCGATTATAGGCATAAATCAGAGTTAATCAGGTGGTTCAGGTAAGACACCTGAATTCAATCAAAGACTGATTGAATTTATACGTCTCACCAGAACCATATTAGTCGAAAAAATCTGAGTAAACTTCGTATGAAATTGGCAGGTTTGAAGTGCATCGGTCGTCTGGCTGTCTCAACCTTCGTGTCATGACTCAAGTCATGAGTCAGTTTTTACATTTTAACTACTGTATTCCACTGGGGAACTTTTGTCATAGTCACAGTTATCTGGAATTCTCTTCAACTAATAAAACATTTGAACAAATAGCATATAAAGGTGGACTATACTTCTACATAGGAATATATAGGGAGCCGAAAAAAATGGTTGTAGAGAACGTTGATAATATGGGTGACGAATATCCTTGTAGACAAAATCGTGATAGAGAGAGTCTACCTGTAGAAGTGTAAAATATAGATTACCTGCAGACAAGAGTTGTACTGGGTACATTGATTATTCTTTTTCGTGTTGTACAGTAGTTCAGCAGTGACAAACAAAAATTTGTCCTTTTTCTTTTCCACTGCTGAGAAGTCAGAAAACATGATAATTTTTGTGAATTATCTACAGCAGTTCTTTCATGATAATTATTGTGAATTATCTACAGCAGCTCTTTCCCGGTGAATGGAGCTATTTATGGTACAATGGTCATAATTTGTTGGAAGGTTTGTTAGCCAGGGGAATATTTAGCTGAAACAGGTACGTAATATTAAGGGTAATTTCAGCTTCTTCTCTTGAATAGAATGAAATGGACAAAAAAATCAAGATAATAGGAATGCCTGTATATTCAGCATTAAATTTCATTTTAGGTCATAACAAAATATGTTTCTCAATGTTCCCGCTTTTTGTTCTTATCATAGCCTTAGTTATCTGAAATTTTTTATAACTAATGAAGCAGGTGAACAAATGTATGGGACAATGATGATTAATTTTCCTTTTGTACAATAATAATTAGAAGAGAATATGTTCATTCAGACGGCGTATATGAATCTACAGTATAGTTCAGCTCATCGTATTCGTGTTAGTGACATCTACAAATGAGTTGGACAGACTTTCGTGAGCTTGAATTAAGGATGCCGGTAGATGTAAATGAAATTTGTGCATTGCATGACAACGCCTGCCCACAAAAAATATATACAGTATACAGTATTAAAGTAGAGTGCACAAAACATTATATTCGTCGTCAAAAAAGTGATCGTTGCCAAGGGAACTCTGTTTTTGATACTCCGCTTAAAAAGCGTGAACCCGCATGCAAGACTCAGTTTTTGCATGGCGGAACTGAAGACACGTACATCCGGTTCCTGAAAATGCAAACATACTGCATTGTCGCCAAAAGTCATGCGATAACAACATTTTTTATTTGTTTTGTTAGTGCTGATTATGTTTTTCGGATGCCACGGTATTATTACGCAAATAATGTTTCTTTTTAGTTGGAGATGTACACTTTCCGTGAAGTTTGCGCAATATGAAAATGAAACCTTTTCTTGTAATGTAAATATTTTATCGCAACATTG